TCCATGATCAGAATGGAGTGTTAGGCATTCACTTACATTCTGGTTTACGGCATTTTAATTTTTGTATTCAAATTTCTATTTGAAAAGCAAGTCTGCCATACTGTGAGGATGCAGCAATGCTCAGCTCCTGAAAAATCTTATGGTTTTAAAGTTTCTCGGAATATACCCATGCAAATCAGCAATACCCTGCCATTGATATCGCAGACTGGCACCTTCTGAGTGGCAAAGGCGCATCATTGGGTCGGACTACTGTCGAGATGTGAGTGCTGTGTTCTCCAACCAGCTGAGGCCTGGTATGTTTTTCCGGCTAGGGAAGCGGCCGATCTCTTGTCCGGGACTGCCTGGCCTAACCTCCCAACCAACAAGCCCTTACTCCCTCCCCCGCCCCCCCTTCTGGGTCGACGGGGGTTATCCCGGTCCGCACCAAGCAGTGCATACTCGCCTTCCAAGCAGCTCCAGGGTGACACCGGTGCAGAAGGCTCCCACGCGGCCTGAATAAAATGGCCGCTCCTGCCCAGCATGCCACACAGTCTTCAATGCAAAGCTGGGAAGAGAGGTTCCATGCAGCGTTTGATGCCATATGTCGGAGGTTTTGGCGGAACCTACGGAGGAGGCACTCCATAATGACAGTTGCTGGGGCTCAGCCTGTTGGCAAAGCCCCTGTTCAGAAGCCTGCTCATAACACTCCTGCTCAGAATCCCCACTCCAAAAGGGATAGCGAACGGCATCCCTGGACCACTCGCCGACCAGGCTTGCACAAAGCTACAGGCTCCTCGGGCGCTGGATGACTAGATCTGATGGTGGAGAAGGGGGCTCACAGCTGTCGGAACTAGTTAGAGGCGGCAATTTGTGGAATCATTTGTCGATCTTTATGCCCAATACACCTTGCAACATGCCTGCTAGCCAAGGCATCGGATGAGTGGACCAGGGCTCTGGAGTTGAGGGACATCTCCATAGTGCCCAAGTGCACCTCAGCCTTTCTTCCACCTCCTGTCTTTCACTCCCTCT